ACCCTCAAACCTTTTGTCTCAGCACTTCCTTCCTAAACCAGAGCCAAAGACATTTCCCTGGTGAAGCTGAACTACAGCCAGACTGCTCTGGGGGGCAGAATGAGACAGATACCTTGGGTGTGTTTCCCACCAACACTTGCCTTCTTTCTCACACAGACTCTCCCCATGAGACAGTCACAGTGTCTTCTGCGTTCCATCTTTGTGCCATCATTGACAGCTTTTGTTGTTCTGTAGACACAAAGCAGTGGACAAAGGACCCCAGATGATTTAAGCCACACCCCTTACCTCCTCTGAGAGCCAAAGCAAGGCTCCTCCAAGGAAAAGAGGGCAGGGGCTCCTTTTAGAGCCCCATCTTCTAAACCAGATGCTAAGTCAGCAGCGCAGTTTACCAAGGGCAGCATTTTCACCACTCCATTAAAATTACACTTGTCTCCATTTTGAAACAAAAGGGAATTTGAGTTGAGGCTCCCAATCCCCCACACCACAGCACTGTGGGATAAGGCGACAGCAACCAAGCAGCACACTAGACATTTCTGGACAAAATCTGGCTAAAGACACTCAAATCCCGCCCCCATACCAGAGGCACCCCCAATAGATCTCTTACACCAGCCAGGAGCCAGGTGATCCCTGAATTGCTGTGAGCTCCGGGGTGAAGCCTGAATGAAAGCATACACTAGATGGGGAATAAGATGTTACTCCTGGGACTGTGAACAGAAGAACTTTGAAAAGAGACCTTTCTCAGGCCTGAAGTTGTTATCACTGAAGACAAGGATCAGGATCAGCTTGTCTGCACAAATCCCATGGGTGGGGGTGTCTCATAAATAGAGAATGGAGATGTGGAAAAGGAGAGGAATACAGACACTAGTAGGTTCTTCAAAAGGCACTGTTAGAATGTAAAGCACAAAAAAATTCACTTATTCTTTCAAAACATATCAATGGCATTCAAGTCACTTGTCCTTGGAGATGCATCAGTGACAGCAATAGACACAACCCTTGTCGTGACCCTGGACGTAACAGCCTGGCGTGAAAGACCATATGCCAAGGACCTGGCTTCCAGCTCCAGTTTCCTTCCCAGAGCCACTACTCAGTTTCCACATCTATAAAATGGAAGTGCCAGGTGCTTTTTATTGCCCTACGGAGCTCTGAGAAGGAGACAGAGATGGAAATTTCTTGTTTAATTTGAATTAAAATATAACAGGAGATATATACCTGCAAAGAATCGAAGGCAGGACTCATGTTCATGAGTTCATAGCAGCATTTTTCACAATAGCCAAACAGTGGAAGCAACTCAAGTGTTCATGGTGAGATGGATGGATAAGCTAAAATATGGTATATCCATTCAGTGAAATATTAGCCTTAAACAGGAAAGAAATTCTGACATATACTAGAACATGGGTGAATCCTGAAGAAATCATGCAAAATAAAATAAATCAGACATGAAAGGACAAATATCATGTGATTCTTCTTAGATGAGGTTCCTAGAATAGGCAAATTCATAGAAACAGAAAATAGAATGGGGTTACCAGGGCCAGAGGGGAAGCGGCAATGGAGAATTATTGTTTAATGGGTAGAGTTTGTTTGGGATGAAGAGTTCTGGAAACAGACAATGGTGATGGCTGTGCAATATCGTGAATGTACTTAACATCACTGGACTGTACATTTTAAAATGATAGATATTGTTATGTATATTCAGCACACATTGTATTTATGTGTGTGTGTGTGTATATGTATGTGTGTATATATATATATATATATATATATATATATATATATATAAACACACACACACATATAACCACTTAAAGCCCAGCTTAGTATTCTAGAATTTCTAGTATGAATCAGAAAACTTTGCAAGGAGTAGACGTGCATGGCCTGTTTACTGAATGGCTCTGTGCCGGGGGTCAGATTTCTATCCCATAACACAAATCCAGGCTCTCAGAATAAGGAAGGCATTAACTTGGATCAGGTTACCCTAGAAATGACATCATCTGATCAAGCCTCCCAGCCATTGTTCAAATCTTAGTCAATGCTACAAATGTAAAAACACAGAGGTGCCAGGTGAGTCCCAGAAGAGAGAGAAGAGACCCTAGAAGAGGGTGTAAGACATAGCTGCATGTAAAATGAGTTCTCTCTTAAAAGAGTAGCCACAGATGAGCTCCGCTACTGATACACAAGTCTGTAGGTTCAGTGTGGCCAGATCTTCAAATTCTGCAAAAGCAAGCCCAAAATCTAGAATTTGAAAGCAAAAAAGGTAATCTGTTGGCAACTCATTAAAATCTTTTAAAAAATACACTGCTGTCCAAACCAAACACCTTTGTAGGTGAGAACAAACTCATAGACCACCTATTCATAAACTATGTTCTTCTAGATGTATGAGTGTTCGGCGTTTGCCCGAATGCTTCTGATGACAGAGGAGCTCATTTCTTAGTGATATTTTGATAAATGCTAATTTTTTAAAGACAGGGTGGTCTTACTCTGTCACCTAGGCTGGAGTACAGTGGTATGATCACAGCTCACCGCAGCCTCGACCTCCTGCTGGGCTCAAGCCATCCTTCCACCTCAGCCTCCCAAGTAGCTGGGACCACAGGTAGGTGCCACCACCCCCAGCTAATTTTTACATTTTTTTGTAGAGACAAGGTTTCACCATGTTGCCTGCACTGGTCTCAAACTCCTGAGCTCAAATGATCTGCCTGCTTCAGCCTCCCAAAGTGCTGGGATTACAGGCATTAGCCACCACGCCTGGCTGATAAATGCTAATTTTTAGGAAGATCTTGCTGTAAATAAAAAATCTACCTTCTTGTAACTTACTCTCGCTGTGTTCCTGTACCCCCCAACATCCACTTGTCATCCTAAACAAGAGAACAGTTACATCCCTGTTTGGCCAGTGCCATTTTCCTCACTGGAATCTGAGTTATTTGAGGACAGTGGTTAGTCTTTCATCTCAAAGTAAGGATAATAATAGCCAACATTTATTGAGCACCTATGTGCCAGACACTATTCTAAGCACTTTATAAGCATTAACTCATTTATCCCTTATGAGAGCACTATGAGAGAGGTCCTATTATAACCACATTTCATAGACAAGAGGAAGATGGACAAGGGATGTTAATAGGTTGTTCAAGGTCACACACCTAGTAAGCAGCAGAGCCAGAATTGGAACACAGACAGTCTGGCTCAAAGGTGATGCTCATAACACTCCAGTACTTATGGGGACTGTCACATTCATTCACTAATTGTCTGTTGATGTGAAATTAAGAAAAACAGTACTAGTTCCTTCTTCTGGAACCACAAAATGAACAGGTTTTCACAACACCAACATTAGAGATGGATTCCAACATAAGAAAAGATGTAAAAATGAGAAAGGAGAAAGGAGGCCTTTAACAGTAGTCATGAAGCATCAAGTTAGACACTAAGCAGAGTGCCCTGATGTTGACAGCTTTGAGCCAACGGAATAGAGAATATAAAGATATTCTTTCTTGCTTTGGAGATCCATTAAAAAAAAAAAAACAGAAAATATGGGGAAGACCAATGTTTCCAGGATGGCTTTTCCACCTGAAGTTATCCAGAGGGAGACATTACAAAGAAATGTGGGACTGGGCATGGTGACTCCCACTTGTAATCCCAGAGCTTTGGGTGGCGGAAGCAGGAAGATCACCTGAGGCCAGAAGTTCAAAAACAGCCTGGGCAACAAAGCAAGACCCCTGTCTCTACAAAAAAAATTAAAAATTAGCCAGCTATGGTGGCACATGCCTGTAGGCCTAGCTACTCAGAAGGCTGAGGTGGGAGGATGGCTTCAGCCCAGGAGTTCAAGGCTGCAGTGAGCTATGATCACATCACTGCATTTTAGTCTAGGTGACACAGCAAGAAAAAGAAATTAGCCTTCTAATTCCTACTCCTCCTGGGTTCCTGCAGGGAGCCTAGAACAGTGGTCTTCTGGGCATATGTGCTTACTGGTCTCATGCCCTGTTGTACCACAGATCAAGGTAATTGGGGGCAAAGAGACCAAAGATTCACAGGTAAAACCCTGTATACTAAAATATAACTACATATGGGATGGGCATGCTGGCTCGTGCCTGTAATCCAAGCACTTTGGGAGACCAAGGCAGAAGAACTGCTTGGGGCCAGGGGTGGAAGGCTGCAGTGAGCTGTGATCATGCCACTCCACTCCAGCCTGAGCAACAAAGCAAGACTCCGTATCTTTAAAAAAAAAAAATACATGTGGTCAGAATTTGACAGAGGATATCCAGACTCAGAGCATTTTAGAGTGGGAAGGAGCTCAAGAAGTAATCTCATCTTATCCAATCTCCCATGTCCAGCGAGAATGCCTTCCAATACATTCCAGACAGGCAGACATTCACTTCTTATCAACACCTGCCAACCACAGCTCTTGAGCCAGCCCGCACAGCTTCAAAGAGAAGTGAATCACCGATAGCTGGTGCAGGGAGGAAGCCTGAAGGTTGCAGTCAGTTTGGGGGAAATTAGGGAGGACAAAAGAACTTGATATGCGATTTACTCAGCAAAACATTGTTTTGCATATCCACATGGACAGTTGTGAATAAAGCCAGATCTGGTGTGATTCTGCTCCCTGCCGTGTGCTCTCGCCATTCATGCCATCTCCAGGCGGCCTCAATGTTAAGGAGGATGAGAGAATATGAACTAGACCTGAACCCAGCCCACATCCTGGGACCAAGTTTAGCTAACATGCCTCCTGAAGCAGAGATGACCAAACCACCCCCACAAACCCATTAGTGGGAAAATAATTAATGCTTATTATTGTAAGCCACTGAGTCCTGGGGCAATTTGTTACATAGCGTTACTGTAGCAACAGCTGACTAATACAGACTTGTCAGTGAATTGGGCATCTGCTGTTTTTGTCCCTCATCTTCCATGCACCTTTCCTCTCTTCACCACCTCTGGATGTCCTCTGGAAACCACCTCCTCTCAATCTCTCAGTCCCTTACTTTGGGTAGGGCTCTGCCCCAGGCTCAGGGCCATAGGACTAAGTTCATGGAGCACCACAGTCCACTGACCACCACAACTGGTTCAGGAGAGACCCAGGTCCAGTGAAATTGTTGCCAGGGATGCTGGGAGAGGCACAGACTCTCCTAATGGACTTGAATCCAGGATGGTGTAAGGCTGGAAGTTCTGCAGCCATCTTACAATCAGACAGAAGGGATCTACCTGGGAATGGAGCCTGCCAAGAAGAAAGCAGAGCCTAGATATGGAGAGAAAGAGAAAAACCAGGTGTCTATCTTAAGCCCCTACATGAAGGCAGACCTGAAGGTAACTCTGCCCCATAAACTTCCCAGTTGTGTGACCTAAAAAAAAAAAAAAATTTTTACCTTAACTTAAGCCAGTCAGACTGGACTTTTAGTCGCTTATGACTGAAGGATCCCTGACTCTCTTAAAACGCTTGCCTTACAACTAACCAACCCATTAAGAAATCTTTCTGGGGCAACTATGGTACCCCAAGAACCAGGGTATACAGAGGGGGAAAAGTACATACCTGGCCCTTGCAATATAATAAAGGAAAAGCCTAACAACTGTAAAAAGGCTTAATAGTCCAGGAATCAATAACATGTATTTGTTCTTGGTTAGCAGCACTTGAGGGGGTGATGTGCCATCAAGGCACCTGATATGGTTTGGCTGTGTCCCCACCCAAATCTCATCTTGAACTGTAGTTCCCACAGGCCCCATGCTTGTGGGAGGAACTCGGTGAGAGGTAATTGAATCATGGGGGTGATTACCTCCGTGCTGTTCTCATGAGAGTGAGTTGTCAGGATATCTGATGGTTTTATAAGGGGCTTTCCCCACTTTCGCGCTGAGCTTCCTGTTGCTGCCATGTGAGGGACATGTTTGCTTCCCCTTCAGCAGTGGTTGTAAGTTTCTTGAGGCCACCCTAGCCCTGCAGAACTGGAAGTCAATTAAATCTCTTTTCTTTAAAAATTACTGAGTCTTGCGTTTTTCTTCATAGTGCCATGAGAATGGACTAACACAGCATCTTGGCCAAGAGGTGCCCCTCTTTTGATACCTAAAGCAGGACAGAAAGTGGAAGAAGAGGGTAGGAATGAAGCCTTTCTTGAAAAGGCTCACCAGGAAAGAAAGGATGGGATGCTGAGACCGAGGCAGCCATCAGAACCATCCAGAGACATCCCCTCAAACTTCTCCCTGAAGACGGGTTGACATCTTAGAACACTTGACACCTGCTGCGGTCACTCCCATATTGCCCGGCCCCCAAACATGGCCATCCAAACCCAACACTGGTCATTCTCTCGGGCTTAAGGATTAGAATATCAAGGGAACCTCTCAATTATGTTGTCCTTTAAAAAATTATCTCCACCACAGACATTCCAGTATTCATGGAGAACAAGCCTTTTACGGTAATTTGGGTTCATTTTCTCTGGGAAGAAGTACAACAACCAGCATCCCTCCCTGTGACAACCCTTGAAACAAGGTCAAGGGCAAGCTCTTAAAAAATGATTCAAACATGGCAGGGGAGGGCGTATAAAGAACGTTTCCCCACGCTATATGGACTTAAACAGGGAATGACTGGCTTGTCTTGAATGTACCAGGCAGTTTTATGCCTCCATGATGTGGCCCAAAAGGTTCCCCCTGCCTTGTTTGCTTTTCTGCTCCAGTTCTAATCTGCTTTTGCAATCAGCCCAAGCATTACTTTCTCTGGGACACTGTGGCAGGCTGCGTTATCGGCCAAGATATTCGCCACCCCTCCCCACTGGCCTGACCCTGTGGAAGGATTATACTTCTTGCTCCGCTTACAGCAGACCTAATCACATGACTTGCTTGGCCAATGAAACCTGAGAGGGAGTGACAGATGCCACTTTGCAATAGAAGCCATTGCATAGCTCTACCATTTTTATTTTCCCTGTGCCAAGAGACCATGGAGGAACTACGCCTTTACCCTTGGTTCCAGAAGGAACAGAGTTTAAAACAGAACCTCAGGAGACCTCTGGTGGACATGAATGTGAGAACGATAAAAGCTTTATTGCATTTTAGCCACTGCGATGTTAAGAGTCATTTGTTACTGCAGCGTACTGTAGCCCACGCTGACTGATAGACTAACCTGGGTGGATTTTAGCTTCTTCCCTTATGTTCTCATTGCACCTCATGTGCAATCCGGTCACACCAATTACCTCACTGTGATACAGTCATCTACTGTCTTCTCAGTGGACCTGAAACTCCTCCGCATCAGACTCCAGATTGCCTCGGCTGCGTTCCCCCAGCTACGTTCCTCCAGTGCTTTGCACAAGTCATGGAACACAGGAGGCCCTCAAAAACGGGAAGTAATAAATGGCCAGAGAATCCTGAAGCTCTGCCCTGCCCTTTCTTCCCCAAGGACTGCAGTCCTCTCCTGAGGCTCTTTGCACATAAATCCCTGTCTTCAAGGTGACATTAGGTGACAAAATCAACTCAAGTCAAAAAACAAGTTGCTAACCTGTAAGAAACAACTATCCTAAGAATTCTGAGATGACAATGTGGCATAGAGCTTTCTGAAGGACATCCTGAAATTTCTAATGTTGCAGGCAACCAGATTCGACATCTCCATTAGGAGGGACCTGGGGAAACTGAGCTATCTGCCCAGACTTCTCTTTGGAGACTGATGGATCTTGTCTGCCAGGCAGTTTTGAAGCCTCCCAGGTCATGCTCCTACATAGCCTCTACTGCTGGAGCCTAGGGTTTTCAGCACCCAGCTCCAAAGTCCAGCCCTGCGGCCTCTCTCCTGGTGAGACTTCAGACCAGGTGACTACCGCCTGGAAGAGGGTAACAGGTCTGTCTCCCAACCCCAGGCTGGAGGAGGAACAAAGCGCCTCTCACAGTCCCTCCCTCAGAGGAGTGAGCAGATACCCTCTAGGGCAGTGTGTAACCACCAGCAGGGCACTCCTCGGTTGAGTATGTCTTGCTTTTCATAATATTTATTTTCTCATCCTACCTCTCTCTCCGTGTATCCAACACACTGCCTTATCTCAGACCTTGCGTCAGAAGCCATGTATCCCAGGGTAGGGAGCCCCAGGGCCAGGCCTTGCTGCCCAGTTACCAGGGGCAGCGAGTGCGTCTTCTGGGTGCTAATCGGAACCAAACCACAATATTTACCCCGGGGCGGACACGTGCGGGGCGATCTACATGGGAAGGGTGGAAACGAGCTGGTGTTTGGGCTCCATCTCCTCCTGCACAGTTCCTGTTTGTTTTTCCACTGCCCTGTTCCAAGAAGGGGTACAGAATGGGGCCGTGCGGACAGTCTGCCTGTAGCCCCACTACGTCCCTCCGTGTCAGCACCCAGGTGGACTCGGGAGGCGGGGGTGTGGAGGCCCAGGGGAAGACACGGGCGTTTTCCATGCCTCGGGAGCAACCAGGTGCAGGATGGAGACCCAGGACTGAATCCTGTAGAGCGAATTAGGGGCACCGCAGGGCACACACAGCGGCTGGGCCAGGAGCGACCCGGCTCTGGGGTCCGGGCAGGGTGGGGGAGGGGACAGGTAAGTGGGTTGCCTGGCAACCCCGCCGACCCGCGGGTGGACAGGCTCAAGGGGCAGCCAGGAGCCACCCCCCCACCCCCGCCCCACCCCCGAGCGCACGCTGCGGAATTCTGCCGGCACGAAGCAGAGTCACGAGCGCAGCCGGAGCAGTGGAGCGGGCAGGACACCGTCAGCACCGGGAGAACACGAGCGCGTGGGTGGATGGGGGAGGGTCCTCACAACCAGTCGCAACCCCCTCCCGCACCTCTATCTCGCATCCTGGCTCCTCCCCGCCCCAAATCTAGGGGAACAAAAACCCAGAGCGTCCGGGAGCGCTCCAGGGGGCACTAGGGAGGGGGCTTCCCCGGGCGGGGGGGCATCGCGCAGCCCCGGGCGCCTGACCCTCCGGCCCAAGGCGGCTTCCTCCCCACCTTCCTTCTTGCCCTCCACACCACCCGCCCCTTCTTCTCCCCGAGTTCCGGCTTGCCGGGCGCCGCAGCGCCACCCCCGCGCGGGAGCTCTCCGGACGGGGGCGGTTCGCAACGGGGCGGGGTCAGCGCCGCCGGGCGGGGCGGCACGGGGAGGGAGCAGGCGGGGCGGGGCCGCGCTGCTACGTCAGCAGCCGCGAGAGGGGATCCTGGGCGCAGGCCCCGCCCCTCACGTGCCCAGGGCGCAGGGCCTCGTGCCGCCCGCGTGACCTGAAGGCCCGGCCCGGCCGCCGCCTCCGCTGCTGCTCGGCTTCCACGCGTGGGAGGGAGGCCGTGGCGCGGGGGGCGGATGGCTTAAGGAGGCTGCGGGAAAGTCTTCCTCGGTGGCCGCGTCCCTGTCCCAGGCCTTGGTACCCTGGCCGTGCCAGGAGCTCTGTGTGGAGAGCTCTGTGCCCACCTGGATTTGAGAAAAGGAGGTCTCCCCTCCCTGCGCCCTCTGCCCCTGCATTCCACGCTTGAGAAAAGGAGGCAGGGTAAGGGGCTCTTCCCCAAGGGATGAGTTGGTTCAGATTTAAACCTAAGTTTCGGAGATAGATGGCGAGGAGCTTTTGAAATTGGGGGTGGAGTCCCCACAGAGGTCCGTTCAGCCTCCATTACTGTGCCTGTGACCCTGGGTCAGGAAGTCCTGCCTTCTTGCAGCCTGGGCCCAGCCCAGTACCCAGCTGAGAGCATGAGCAAGAATCCAGCATCCTTTACGGTTCTTTGGTGGGTGACTTACTGATTCCCTCAGCCACCACCCCCCCCCCACGACCCATTTCCCCTCCTAGAAATGACAGGCAGAGCATTTGGAAAGAAGCAGTGAGGGGTGGAGACCACGGACAGGCCAAGCCCCAAATTGGGCGTCCCCGGCAACAGAATCGAAGGAAACCCATTATCTGTGTCCTTAAGTGACCCATTTGCCTGCAAGGTGTCAGGTGCTGAGGGAATCCACAAAGCCTGTTGCTGTCTGAAAACTCGTGTCTCTACTAGTTGTTATTTTCAATAGCTGGTGAAATTGAAACCGCCTTTGCAAAAATTATAAAATTGTTACAGTGAAGGACATCTGACCTGACCGGCTCTATCTTGCTTCTGACCTCCAAACAGTCCCTTGTTCATTCCTGGGAGGGACTTACAGTTTAGCTTTGAAACAAAGATGGTAACAGCCCTTTCTCAAGACAAACCCCCTTCTTACCTAGGGACCAGACTGCCTTTGTAGTAAGTAACAAATTAGTTCTTAAGATTAGAAATTATGGTTTAGGAGTCATGCCGCTGGAGGCCACAAGCTTCTTAGCCTCCCCAGTTGCTCCTAGGGATGACATAACTTATTAGAAAATCTAAGATTGGTGCTGAAGATATTTTTCAGACCCTACAGTTGATGGATCAGCTGGCATCACCCAGATTGATAAACCGGCTGTCTGGTCCTGTGGCCCCTACCCAGGAACCCACTTAGCGCAAGAGGACAACTTTGACGCCGTATGATTTTGTCTCTGACCAAGCCAATCAGCACTCCCCACTCCCTAGCCCTCTACCCGTCAAATTATCCTTTAAAAACCCTAGTCTGGAATTTTCAGGGAGGCTGATTTGGGTAATAATAAAACTCTATTCTCCTGATCAGCCGGCGCTGTGTGAATTCAACTTTCTCTACTGCAATTCCCTGTTGATAAATCTGTTCCATCTGGGAAGCAGGTAAAATGAACCTATTTGGAAGTTGAAAAATGGGGGTGGGGGGCTGCCTGGGTCACGCACTCCAGAGTAGAAGCCTCTAAAGTAAACCCTCTCCATGAAAAGCCATACATGGTATGGCAGAGAGCTTGGATTAGGGAGTTGGGGAAGCCACCTGCCAACCAAATACCAAGCACTGGAGGAGGGGCAAGGTGTGAGGCAGACTGGGGAGCACGTGGAATCTGATGGAAACTGACCCAGACCCATTCCCTGTCTCCCTGAGGGAAATCATAGGGTTGGTGCCTTAACTTTTACAGGATTGTATTTCCGAGGCAAGGGTTATTCCCCTAGGATAGTTCTAAGGAAGACAAAACCTAAGCTTGTTTATTGCTGGGATGGCCAGGAGTGGAGTAATAGGAAGAGAGCTGGGGGCAGGGAGTGGGTCCCTTTGGCTGCGTGTCTGGATTTCAGTGTATCTGGACAAGTGCCTTTCTACTGTTGGCTTTCCAGACTCACTTATATGAGGAACGGGAGTGGTCAGTTTAATGGATTGAATGGCTACTGAGCGCCTGACACTGTGGAGAGAACACAGGGAGTGCCAGTTATGTCCGCGATCGACAGGAATTTCTGTCTCCTGGGGGAAGTACTATGTTCTGGAAATACTTGACAAAATGTCAGTGAGTCTGTGAGGGTAAGAGCCAACACGAGCAGTGTAGGCAAGTGCTTTGATAGAAAGGAGAAAGCAACAGAGGCCAAGGAGCCAAAGAAGGGGGAAGATCTGGATAAATGGAGAGGAGCTTTGGGTGCTGAGAATTGCAAGAGCAAAGGCAGAGAGGAAGGAGTGCTTCTGGACAGCCCACTGGTCAGGAAGAAAGCTGGCTTGGCTGGAGCAAAGGGTGCAGGATTGGAGAAGGCCAAAGATCTGCTTGATGAATGAGTCTGCTGAGGCCCAAGGCAGAGGCTTCCAGGTTTTCTGTCAGCCCCACTTGCCCAGAACTTTGCAAAGCTCAGCACTGATCACATAAAACCATCCTCAGAAACATGCAGTGGCCCTCCATTGCTCAAATGCTATCATGGGACACAAGGCCTGTAATGCTTTATCCCAAACCTACCTGGTCAGCTTTACTCCTGTTCCACCTTTTCAGGCCCACCATATCCACAGAATTACCCCTGGGTCCTGAATGTGTCCTCTCCTTTCTCCCTTTTTTGCCTTAAATTGCATGCTTTTTCCTTTCTTTGGAAAGTTCTCTCCTCCCTCACCATTTCTGCCCACTCATCCTTGAAAACACAGCTCAAGTGCCAGCTCATCCCCCAGCCAGATGTAATTTTCATCTGAGTTTCCACAACATCGTGTACTCTATCTTGGCACCTCACGTTCCACGTTGTATTATGGATATGCAGAGACATCATCCTTCAAAGTAGATACGGCTAATTGGACCACTTCTCACCGCCTCCATCGCTGTCAGCCTATTCTAAGCCGCCATCATCTCTTGTCTGGACTGCTGGGATGGCCTCCCGATCAGCCCCATTGCTTCCTTCTAGCCCTCTTTGGTCACTTCTCTCCAGAGCACCAGAGTGATCCTTTTAAAACATAAATCAGGTCATGTCACTCTCTTGCTCAAAACCCTACAATGGTTTCTCATCACTTTCAGATGTTACTCAAGACTTAGTGTGAAGGTCAAGACCTATGTTATCTGGCCCTGTCTACCTCTCAGACACCTACCACCCTCTGCTTTGCTCACTAAGATCTGGCCACTCTGTCTTTCTTCCTGTTTCTGCACTATTCCAAGCTTATTTCTTAGTCAGAGCCTTTGCACTTGCTGGTCTCTATAAATGGAGTGCATTTCTTTTTAGAATTTACATGGCATACTCCCTCACTTCATTCCTGTCTTGGGTCAAATACTTTCTCAGAGAAGCATTCCCTGACTACCTTATCTAGTATACGCCTTCTACCAGGCACTCTCCATTTCCTTTTACTTTAGAGCCATTACCACTATCGGAACCATATTATGCTTATTTGGTTATTTATTTGTTTATTGCCTGTCACTACCATAGGAAGTTAACCTTTGTGATGTCAGAACTCCTGTCTCATTCACTGATTTAGAACCTTCCTCACATGTAGTAGGTACTCGGTTTCCTAAATGAATAAAGGAGTGAATGAATCTAAGCTCTGCTACTAAACTATATGTTCTTGGAGGGCAAGCACCATTCTTTATACATTTGAGTCCCCTTCTCCAAGACCTAGTTTCTGACACATAAGTCCACTCAAATGCTTGTCTGAATTTCAGATTCTGCAGAGAAGACCTCCAGCTGCTTTTCCACCATTAATGTAACTACATCTGTTTAAAAAAATCAGGAAATGGTCTTTACCTATCTTGTCACCTCCAGAGATGACTCAGTCTTCATCACATTGATCCCTGGGAAGTCTACAAGATCACAGCTTCTCCAGTTGTGGATCTCAAGCCATTAAGGGGTTGTGACCTACATTTTTTGATGACATAGAACAAATGAAGAATTAGAAGAGTGCATCGCAGGTTTTAAGGATAACTATTTTTTTTTCCATTGTGGGTATTGTCAGGTCATGATATAAAATGAACATCCGACCGGGCGTGGTGGCTCATGCCTGTAATTCCAGCACTTTGCGAGGCCGAGGCAGGTGGATCACCTGAGGTCAGAAGTTCAAGACCAGCCTGGCCAACATGGCGAAACCGCATTTCTACTAAAATACAAAAATTAGCTGGGCGTGGTGGCGAGTGCCTGTAATCCCAGATACTTGGGAGGCTGATGCAGGAGAATCGCTTAAACCCAGGAGGCGGAGGTTGCAGTAAGCTGAGATCCCACCACTGTGCCTGCCCTGGGTGACAAGAGTGAGACTCTGTCTCAAAAAATATAATGATAATAAAAAAAGTTAACATCTTATTGTTGACCATTGTCTGAAAACTTGAAAGTTCTAGATGCCCCGTAGATAGTCATTTTATAGAATGCATACCTATACTCTTAATATTTAAATAGCTAGCATTTATTGCGGGTTACTTTTGTGCTGGGCACCTGTGTTAACACTGTTTCACATGCATTGTCTCATACAGTCCTCATTACAGTTCTGAGAGGAGGGTCTTATTATAATTCTCATTTTACAAAGGAGGAAACTGAGGCTTAGAGAAATTAAGTAACCATGATCACAAAGCTGGTAAACAGCTAAGCAGAAGGCCCGCTTCAGAGCTCTCCTTACCAGCTAGTCAGCCAGCAGGATTTTTTTTTTTTTTTTTTTTTGAGACAGAGTTTTGCTCTTGTTGCCCAGGCTGGAGTGCAATGGCGCAATCTCGGCTCACTGCAACCTCCGCCTCCTGGGTTCAGGTGATTCTCCTGCCTCCCAAGTAGCTGGGATTACAGGCATGCACCACCATGCCTGGCTAATTTTTTTTTTTTTTTCAGTAGAGACAGGGTTTCTCCATGTTGGTCAGGCTGATCTTGAACTCCCGACCTCAGGTGATCGCCTACCTCAGCCTCCCAAAGTGCTGGGATTACGGGTATGAGCCCCTGTGCCCAGCCTCAGCATCTATTCTTTAATTTCATGTTTACTGAAAAAGCCCCCACAACCGTGGTTTATGTCAATAAAATAAACACGACTTACCCAGCATTCTGATGGGAGGTTTTTGGGTTTTTTTGGTGGCTGGTGGGCACTGCTAGGCATGTGGACTGTTGTCCCGTTAAGAGTTCCATAGACCTAGAGAGTTTGGGAATCACTGGTCTCAATGTATTCACACCAGTACAGAACTTGGATAGACTGGAACTGTAGCTGCCCCGGGGCCACCTGATAGGGCCACCTGAAAACCACCTTCTGTGGTTTTCACAGAAGGACACAGACACAGACAGTCCATTTCTTGGCAGGAAGGAAGGTGGGGAGTAAATACCCTGCCATACCTTCCTCCCATCTTTGGATTTCCCTCTCAGGGCTCCCATTGGCCAAACCAGGTATCAGGAGAGTCTGTTAATGCAGTCCCTAGAGGTCAACCTCCCAGAACAGAGTGGAGTGAGTGCGGGGTGGATCTGGAGAGCAAATGCAGAGCCCCCTGCTTACCATCCTCAGCACCAGTGCAGATTAACACAAACTCCCAAGGCCTTTGAATGCCAAGCCTCCGACTACTGCAGTACTTCACAGCTGGCCCCAACTCTCACCTCTCCCTTGAGGACAACATCTGAACGGGCCAGGTGGGGCATTGAGCAGGCTTGGGCCACACTGCAAGCCCCTCCCTTGGCCCTGTCTTTTATTCACTAGGCAGCCAGTGGAGGAAATCCAGGCCAGAAAAAGAACCAGCCCCCTTCATCCACCTAGGCGTTTGCAGCTCTGCCAGCACTTGGGTATCTTGTTGGTGATCTAATCATGGACCAGGTCAGTGGGTTTTTATACAGTCTGGGGATTTGATTGGGAATGGTAGAAATTTCTTCCTGCCAGGATTTTGCTCGCTTCCAAGCTGAAACCTCCTGGAGCAAGGAAGCAGGGCAAAGAGAGTGTGTGTGTGCATGTGTGCATGTGTGTGTGTGTGCGTGTGTGTGTGTGTGTGTGTGTGTGTGTATGTGTATTTGTGTGTGCCGGGAGAGGGACAGAATGCAATCTTCTAAAGGCATGTTCTTGCTGTTCATACTTACCCATCCTTGGCAGGCGAATGTCTGGCTGCAGTTGTGGCTAAAATATGAATGAATGTGGTGGTGTGCAGGTGCGTGAATGACTGTACGTTTCTGTGAATGAATGCATTTGTGATGAAGAGTGCATGGGAGCCCTTGCGAGCCGGGATAGTTGTTTGCAGGTGCCTGGCTGGCTGGCTGGCTGGAAGCATCCACTGATCAGTATCTTTACCAAAGTCTATGAGTGTTGGGTTGAGGGGGGAGGAGGGGAATACTTTGCTTTCTCACAATACCTCCCTTTTGCTGCTGCCACTACTGCGTGGCAGCGTGAACCATTGACAATTTCCTTTTCCTCCCTGAAGCCCCAGAGAAGAAAGTCGGGGGAAAGACAAGTGAAAACATGTGGTCAGTCTGTAATCAGTTGAAGCCTCCTCCAGGCACCAGGAATTGTCCTTAGATAAACTCTAGTCACAAAGCCTCCTGACTAGCCCGTGGGGCTGAACAAGGGGCAGATGAGTGGTAGCTTAGGTTAGATTTTCTCTGACCTCTTCTGCCCTGACCTACTAGCCTGGTCAGGCAGAATTATTCATATTCTGTCCTTATCTGAAATGTTGAGATTAATATCATATTCCCTTATGTCTCACAACCAGATTTGAGGGAATGAAAGGAGAGGCCACATTCATTTAGGAAGTAGTGATAAGCAAAAATGATTGCG